TAAGAGTAGATCTTTAAGTAGCATGATAAGCTCCGCAGTATCCACAAGAAAGTTACGAAGTCAATCAATTTCATCGGGATTTGGTAATTAATTTGTTTAATTAATTTTGAAAAATAGTTTTTTTTTAATTATGTTACTAATTGCCTTTAATGGTAATTATTTATATTTTGAATTTTATTTAAATCTGATATCGGTAACTAATCTGCCCTTACAATTTTTTTTTAAAAAGAGGGTAAACGAAAGTTTGATTGTGAAGGTGATCAGAATGAGAATAATGGTATGATATGGTTAAATTATGCTAATTCAAAAAAAGTTTAATATAATTAATACGTTATAATTATATAGATAAACGTAATAAAACAATAAATTATATAACAAAAGAATTGGAATTTGATATTTAATATTGTAATATTGTTAATATTTTATATCACATCACTACATCAGTAAATATACTCGTAACTTACGGGATATCATGTCTACATACTTGTTTGATAATGCTCTCTATATAATGTTTCTAAATTAATAAATTTAAGACTACTGCGACGTATTTAATTTATAAAATATTTTGTACTGTATTTCTTACAAATTTCAAAATAAATATTCTTTTTTTTTTAAAAAAAAAAATTAATTTCCGTAGATAAATGATTTCGACATTTATTCGAAAGGTTCAAAGTTTATTAATTGTTCAGCCCATTCGCTTGTGCAGCTGGTAGAATTAAACTAAAAACGATTCTGGCTAAAGTTTGGGTAATACGCCATTTGTTTTCGAAAGGCATTTGGCGCGTGTTATGGATTTAAAACTCTTTTTGAAAGCAGACTTGTAAATTCACATTCCAGTGATGGTTGTATTCAGTTCGAATAACTGAAGAACGGAATCAACACCAGAAATTGCGTTTATTTAAGCCACAATGCTATCATGACAATTGATGTTTTGAGTCACGTTCTGTGTATCCAACAATTGCTCGACATTCTTTATATATTGTATTTTACATGCTGTGAGAAAAAGACCGATTTATGAACCATGAATTTCTCTGCTTCACATCAAATATGATAACGCGAGAAAGATTTAAAGAATATCTTAATTCTTTTATTAAGGTCCCAAATCTTCGAAATGACAGGTCTATATATATAAATTTCTTTGTTAAAACAAATTTAACCAATGAATACCACGGCGCAGAATGACGCAGATGTCATGTTAAAAGGATGATCAAATCTATAATTTAATGATTTAGCAGAAACGATGATCCTTTAATATCCCAACAAAGATATAGGATATTGGATCTTACGCCACACTTGTGCGATTAGTTGAATTATGTAGACAACTTTTTGGATAAGTAAAAAATAAAAATAACGTGAAAAGCAATCATAAGTTTTTGTGTTGATTAAGAATCGAAGCTTGTTGGATAAACGGAAGGACTCGTAGAAGCAATGTCTTTTGCAAGAAAGTAATCGATAGAAGTCTAAAACCACTTCGAAAACTTATACGCTCGTCATTCATTTTAGTTTATAATGAGTTACTTTCATCAATCTTTAAGCCGAGGATGCTGTTATATGTATTAAATATATATATTATATTTTCAATTTTCAATTCAATATTTTTTATGGAAATCCCGAATATCATAATTTTAAAATTATAATTTAATTATGGTTAGCTTATTACAATATTCGGTTTGTATTGCACGATATTATTTAAATTTTTCTTAATAACTATTAAACTTTCTTTCGGTGCATTGTACAATTTGCAATTTTCATCCATTTTATTGTTTAGAAAATATAAAACGATAGTTGGCAAGATTATTTTAGCAAAGATTTAATAAACTCGCATAACGATAATATTCGGGATTATGATATTTGCAAATACAATTTACAGTACATTTTTTATGAATATTAAACAGTTTCCTTCCGTTCTAACTATGTATCAATTTCATCTTAATTGTTTGTGTTTATTTACTTAAAAATTAAAGTTTGAAGTGAGTTTAGCTCGTGTGTCTTCGAAACAGGACTAGGAATTAAGATCATAAAATATAATTAAGGTAAACCTACTATAATATGAAGCTGAAAATTTTAAAGTCGCTTTAATAAGGTCAATTTTCTTTCTTTCGACATTTAACTATAATAAACAATACAAAAAAATAAATATATCCTCAATATTATCTTATTATAATTCATTTGCGAATGATTTGTTTGCATGTCTTTATGAACTTTAATAGACGGAATTGATCAAAATTACGTTGTAAGTTCTAGAGTTGGCTCAACCAGTCGTTTGATTCTTCTCGGTTGATTCGGTCGCTAACAGAGTCTCATAATTTTTATAATAAATCTATCTGCCTGGCTTTACAATTTATCTTTTTAGATAATAGAGATAGAAAGAATACTTTGATCGTTTCATCAATTAACGTAAAAAATTATATTTATTTCTTTCATGTTATTAAAAAAAAAGCTTGTCGCATTTTTCCAAGCAAAAAATTATTGTAATTACCGGTAAATAAAAAAAATCTGTCAATAAGTTCGATTCAAGATTTTTATCATGATAAACTCGTTTGCGATCGCTTTACAAAGATACAATAAAAATAAATTATAATATTATACAACTATTTTCCGTCAATATAAATGAAAATAATAATTAAATAGAATAGTAAGATCATATCAAGCATTTGTACTAATATAATCCAAATTAAATATCAAATTCCAATTCTTTCGATATATAAGTTTCATCTTCCAATAATTTAATTCTTTTATTGCCTTTATCTATAAAATCAAACAGATACATTCAATTATTAATGTTATTTTTTTTTTGATTTCTTTGAATCGCATGAAATATTATTTTACCGTCATTAAATTTATCGCTTTCAAACTTTCGTTTACCTTTTTTTTTAAAAAAAGGAAAAAAAGGTTATTAATAATTTAGCATACTGGTTATAAAATAAATATTTAATTTTAATTACCAAAATCCGATCGACTTCGTAAACTTGCGGATTTCATCATTTTACTTAAAGATCTACTCTTATAAATAGCACCTGTATTTTTTGTTGTAATAGGTCCAATTTCTGATGATTCTACAATATCAGTTGGATTACTTTTTTCAAGATCTATAATTACATAAATACTATTATAAATATTCCCAGTTGCTGGCCTTTTATTTTGGATCAGAGTCCCAACATTCTTTCATTAGCTCAATATAACCTTCAGGTGCTACAATATCACCAATTGGAGGACGTAAACCATCACAAATATCAATAATCAGCTCAGTATCATGAGCACGATCCCAAAAAGGTCTTCTACCTGTCATACACTCCCACATAATCATACCAAAACTATAAATATCTGATTTTTCAGTGTACGTTTGCCCTTGAAGAACCTCTGGTGCCATATAAGGAATTATTCCATATATTTCATTATCGTCAGCTTCAGTAGCAGATTTACTTAATCCTAAATCACCTATACTAATCCAACCATTATTTATCAAAATATTTCCACTATGAAAATCACGGTGGATAATACTCTTTTTATGAATACCTGATAGGCCACTTGCAGTATCCCATAAATGACTTAACTTTGTATCCCAACTAACATCAAAAAAATCTTTAGCTATATAATGGGATAGATCTCCTGAAACACAATAATCCATAATTATCACGAATTCTTTAGTGTTAGGATCTTGCGTAATTCCATAATACCGATTAATATGATTAGCATCGCCTAGTTTTAATTTATAAGATATTTTGAGCTGAAAAGTATTTGACTTAGTAATATTGATATATAAAATAAATAAAGAATAAATAAAAGAACATATACCTCATTTAATTCCTTTAAAGTAAAGGTTTCAGAATTATTAAGTTTCTTTAGAGCAACTTGTTTATTAGATACCCGACCATATTCTCCTTTATCTTTATTCCAACTCACTATTGGACCATCAATCCAAAAGGCTTTATAAACTTTACTAAATCCTCCCTCACCTATCAACTCTACAGTTTTGAATCTATCATATGGAACAAACTCCATTTTGCCTTTAGAAATATAATTAATTTGTGTACTTTTGATAAAATCGTCAATAATTTCGTTTCCAATAGGATTAAAAGTTGTATTTGTAAAATAACAATTACGGCAAATATTATGATATTCTTCAGAAGGTTTTCTTCTTTTTTTACATTCAATACACTTCTCAAATTTATGTTTAGGCTTTATTTTACCAGTGGGTTCCATTTGCTGACTTGATGTGTCATTTGATATTAAAAAATCAATTTTGTGTTTAAAGTTGAATAATTGATTCATAATGGTTATAAAATTTTGCTTTAGCATATAGTACTCTACCTATTTATATATACTTTATTATAGAAAAGAAGCTTCTAAATTTCATTTCCGGCGGGCGTATTTCATTATTTTAGGCAATGATATGTTACATTTTATGTCATAGGTTGAACGAGATAGTCATTTCGGCCGAAACCTTTTTTTTAATCGGAATTATCAATTCCTAATAGAAGTTCCTGCCAAATATGGAATACCCATTTTTGAAAGTTCATTTGATGACAAAGTTTATATTATTGAAATGAAAAAAAAAACAGAAAATATTTTTAAAATTGGATAATTGTCAAAAGAAGAATTTAAAGCCTAGGCGGTCAAAAGTGCTTTATCTACTTAGAATGATAATCCCATCTTTAAAATATATTCATTTTAAAAAAAAAAATCGTAAACACAGAAAGCTGTTATCATTTTGATTAACTAACAATGTAAATTGCGGATGTAGTCTTGACATTCGTATCAATTTGCATATCTTTATATTATATGATTATGGTCATACGAATTAACGTTAAGGTTCAATTTATAACTTTTTTGTTTGCTTCATGAAAAATTTTGTTCCAAATAATATTATTCTAACTTAATGATTAGATAGGAATGAATGAAAGATGAACTTCGATCACTTGAGATTGCAGCGATTAAACGATTTCACTTCTTTTCTTGCGCCTATTTTCTTTCTTTAGGTTCCACTTTGGGCTGAATCCATAAAAAGATTATTTCATTTAATTTTTCTCTCTTCTATTTATTTTTAATTTTTTTTTTAGGTTCTGACTGTAGCTTTTTTTATAATTGAGCTAGCTTCTACATTCAGGTTGGATTATTTCAGAAGTAAGCGTAGTATGTATTTTATTATTTCATTTTTAGTTTTTATTTTATTTTTTTTTACTTTGGTTTGATTGCTTCAGTCTTTTAGGCATCTAATATTATTGTAGAGATATGTCTCAGACCTGTTTCCCTAGTTTTTTTTTTTTTTTTTTTAAAAGAAGCGAATGTGCCTCATTTATCTTTTTAAAGAAGTATATTAAAATTATAAATGAGATGAGCCAATTGAGTAAAGTATACATTATACATTACATTTTCATTTTAATAAAAGAAATTCTTTTTGCAAATAATATTTAACAATAATTAAGATAAAGGATAAAAAAAAAAATACAAAATATTGATTATTTTCATTGCATTGTTAATATAATCCATATTAATATCAAATCCAAATACAATATACTTGTTTTTTTAAGTTTCATCTTTCAATAATTTAAATATTTTCTATCTACACTATAAGACGTATATGGGTGGTGTGCTATTAAAATTGAGGTTACAGATCATATGATTTACTATGTCTCGTACCTCAATTTTAATAGCATACCACCCATATGTATTCCTTGTGTACAACCTCTATTGTTGAACCAAACATGAACTTTCAAAAATGGGTGAAAATAGGCGGTATTGTGCATGATCCATATTTGGCAATTATTTCGAAACCGAGAATTTCTATTAGGAATTGATAATTCCAAACAAGGAATTCGTCGATTGGATCCGGTAATTGGATCGGGTTCTTTTCTTTGTGCGACTGTGTTTGGAGTGATAAACTTTATTCTCATTTTTTGGTGTAGGGTTAACCCTCACATTCTTTTTTTTCATGTGTGAACTTAGTAATTTCATTTATAATTATATTTTAACTAAGAAATTTTTCAAAAAAATAATAAAAAAAAATAAGTATTTTATTTTTTTCTTCCAAGAAAAAGTTTAACAAAAAAAAAAAAATACTAAAAAATCTTTATAAACTAGGTCTAAATAATATTTTAAATTTTAACCTTTCCATTTTCTTAAAATATATTCAATTGAGCGACTTTTTCTAAAATGTATTTTTCTACGCATGCAGGGATGCATATAAAGTATTCCTTAGTAACAGATCATTGCCTAAAATAATGAAATACACCCGCCGGAAATGAAATGAGGAAACTTCTTTTTCTATCTAGAATTCAAAGAAGGATATTTTCTATTTGATGATATGGTTAATAAAATACATATATATATCATAGGTATAGCTTTGTATGATCAAACGAACTTTATCATGTATCAATTAATCGATGTTAATCGTATTGACTTGATCAATGACATATCAAGTCAAAAAATGGAACCCACGGGAAAATAAAACCTAAATATAAATTTGAGAAATGTATTGAATGTAAAAAAAGAAGAAAACCCTCTGAAGAAAATCATAAGCTTTGCCGTACTTGTTATAAAGCTACAATAAACTTTAATTCAAGTGGAAACAAAATTATTGACGATTTTATCAAATATACACAATGTAATCTTATTTATCAATTCGAGGGTAAAATGGAGTTTGTTCGATATGATCAATTCAAAAATATAGAAATTATTGGTGAGGGAGGATTTAGTAAAGTTTATAAAGCTACTTGGATTGATGGTCCAATAGATAATTGGAATTACTTTGAAAAAAAATATAATCGGGATCCTAATAAAGAAGTTGCACTTAAGAAACTTAACAATTCTAAAAACTTTACTTCTAAGGAATTAAACGAGGTATATATAAATTTTCCTTTTTTATTTATTATGATACATACTATGTTAATAATCTTTTTTCAGCTTAAAATATCTTATCAATTAAGAACAAACAGTTATACAATTATTTTGTATTATGGAATTACGCAAGATCCTAATACTAAAGAATTTGTGATAATTATGAATTATTGTAATACAGGAGATCTATCCCATTATATAGCTAAAGATTTTTTTAATGTTAGTTGGGATACAAAGTTAGTTCATTTATATTGGATTGCAGATGGCCTATCAACAATTCATAAAAAGAGTATTATCCACCGTGATTTTCATAGTGGAAATATTTTGTTAGGTAATTATAATATTTATATAGGTAATTTAGGATTAAGTAAATCTGCTACTGAAGCTGACGTTAATGAAACTTATGGAATAATTCCTTATATGGCCCCAGAGGTTCTTCAAGGGCAAAAATATACCACAGAATCAGATATTTATGGTTTTGGTATGATTATGTGGGAATATATGACAGGTAGAAGACCTTTTTGGGATCGTGCTCATGATACTGAGCTGATTATTGATATTTGTGATGGCTTACGTCCTCCAACAGGAGATATTGTAGCACCTAAAGGTTATATTGATCTAATGAAAGAATGCTGGGATCCTGATCAAAGTAAACGGCCAACAGCTGTGAGAATAGAGAGAGATTTTAGGTTTGATTCTAGAATTAGAAATCTTGAATATAAATATCAAACAGTTATTGTAGAATCTTCAGAAATTGGACCTATAACAACAAACAATCCAGGTGCTATTTATAAAAGTAGATCTTTAAGTAAAATGATGAAATCCGCAGAATCTACAAGAAGTTTACGAAGTCAATCAATTTCTTGTAAATAGTTTGTTCGTTATATGTTAAGTCACATCACATTAAGTCACATTATTAATTAATCTTGTATTTAATATTCAGTTAATCATCATGAAAACAACAACTCCTTTAATGGTAATTATTTATATATTGTTTATTTACCTTGATATTTACAGTTTATATTATAATAATTTTTGACTTTATTAAAAGGTAAACGAAAGCTTGAAAATTATCAGATTGAGGGTGATTATATAGCTTACTTAAATTATTTATATAACGAATTCAAAAATTAACGTTAATTAAAATATTGATTTTATAGACAAAAGTAATAAAAATATTAAATTATTGGAAGATGAAAATTATAAAACAAAAGAATTAGAATTTGATATTTAATATGGATTATAAATCTACAACGAATAACGATAAAATTTGTATTTAAAAAATTAAAATAAGTATTGATCTATTAATTATTATATAGAGATTTATATATTTGAGTTTTGAAGTTGAATAGTGTCTATATACTGAATATAAATTGATTTAATAAATTACGAAATTGTCTAATCAGTATTTAAATCTCAATCATTTGTTAAACTCAAAATTTTTTTTGTTTTCGTTTAAACGGGTTTTAATGAATTGAATTCTAATATAAATGTAGGGTCAAAATGTTTTGAAAGATGTATTAAATTTGATTATAACCGGTCTAATGATATAAATGAATTAATACGTAGATTGAAACCTTTTTTATATTTGCTAGTGTCCCTCTCGGAAATTGACTGCGCCTAAAATTGGATCAATTTGCTGATAATTCAGTTGGAATTGTTTTCGGACTTTTCGATGATTTAGGACACCTCGATATGATGGAATATATATGTCAAAATTGACCGTTTTTGACATAACGAAACGATCAATAAGCATTATCGTCAGTCAAGCCGTAATAATTAGTAATCCTGCCAAGAATTCTATAACTAAGCCATGGGAAGGGAATTTATTATAAAAAGAAGGGTTTTTCATGTTGCTTTTAGATTAGAATTAGATAGTTTTCTTTTCTTTTTGGCTATTACAGAGCGCCGGCAGAGGCAGTAATAGTTGCATTTATTGTATTTACTTCATAATTATCTAATAAATTTATTTTCTTTATTTTTATTTCAATAAAACTTTATTTAAATTCTTTCGCATTTGATTTACATATTCGTTATAATACATTGTGTTCTCTAAATTACCTAACAAACATAAAATCGCCTCTTTAAGAATTTAGGAGGTGACACTAGAGCAACTACTTTGGATAAGTATTGAAATTATTCAAGCGCAATAAGACTAAAAAATTGATAATGGAATGAAAATCACAACGCTTTATCCTTAATTGCACTTATATTATAACATTGGAAATTAACGTGGAGAATAATAAAATAATTAATATGAAAACAAAATTAAGTATGGCTGAAATTAATAATACACTATATATTTTGGGTAATATAGAATTTTTTATTATACAATATTATATTTTTTGATGATAAATCACAATAAAAGAATGAATATTCACAATAAAAAATTATTACGTAGTTATGAAAAATTATAGATATATTGTTTCCTAAAATACAAACTTTTACGTATCTTGACACGACGTTCAAATTATATATAAATTTATTGACGTGACGTGAGCAAAAGTCTACAACCCTAATATGTAACGTTTTATTTTTGCTGATGGTTACCTACCACCTTGTCATATTAAAATAATAAAAAGAATCCTTATCTGTTATTGCATCATTTACGTCGTTTGTGGCGGGATGTTCCAAAAAACCAATGGTCTGGTCCATTGCTCCACTCACGATTACATGAAAATACCCAAATAACTATTCAAGACGCATCTGCTATCGTCTCTTCATACAGGTTAATAATGAGTAGTGATCTAAAGTTTTTATCCAGATGAGCGCATGCATTCTTTATTATGATTATAAAACCTTTCTTTTTTGATGCTATATATTTGTGTCTTTAATTATCTTCAGACGATCTGAATTTCATAACACTTAATTATATGTTCGCAATATTGTGAAGAATAACGGCTCGGAATTATCCAAGATGATACATGGGAATCGTACAATTTAGTTTGCTTTGTTTGGTAGATATTGATATTTTACATACGTTGTTAGCCGGAGGGCTGGAAATTAAACTTAGACGATATAATTCAGTCCGTCGAATTAATCACGATAACTTTATCACAATCACGCCTGTATGAAGACACGG